TTCCAGCCTCTAACTTCTAGCTTGCTTACTTTCTTATCAACATGTCCAAAATCACAGAAACTTAGCCTTATGCCCTCTATTAATTTATTCCTCTTGCTAGCACCAGCCAGAAAAAGTGAAATGAAGTCTTACTGAGAAATTGTAGGAATCATAAGTTTTCCCAACATTCCCTAAAAACTGCATTTTTAGGAGTCTAGAAGTATACCCTATTCATGACTTTTTTCAAGTATAAAACTAAAATATTCCTCAAATTTAAACCTAGTGTACATAATTTTAGAGTACCATTGTTCATCTACAAATCTAATGTTCATCTACAAAACCACACATTAGCTAACACAACTGTGAAAACAAGCTGTGGATAGTGCAACAGTATACAGCATTATCAAATATATTCATAATAATTTATACAGCATCTGGCCCTACAATACCTTGCAACTATGAGGACCTTTGTTCAAATCCCACATGAAAACATTGAGTGTAGCTGTCACACTTGTAAGCCTACTACGGGAAAGTTGAAAGGGAGGATCCCCAGGGTTCACTAGCCAGACAGTCAATTGCAATTGGTGAACTCCAGGCTAATGAAAGACTCTCTCTCCAAGGGGGTAGATTAACACTCCAGTATCTGTGAGCACGCAAATGCTAATGCACACATACACGCGCAAACATGCTCACATGGGCACACACATCAAATCATGCAAAAATAATCTATGGAATTATGTAAGCACTTAAAATTCAGTTGATTCCAGCAGATGAAACAGAATTGTCTTTCAAACCTAATACCTAAATTATGATAAAGAAAGAAAGAAAGAAAGAAGCAACCACAGATATAAAGGTAGCTCAATGGTAAACACTTCTAACGTGTAAATCCCTGGGTTCAATCCCCAGTAACATGAATGAACACACACACACACACACACACACACACACACACACACACACACGTTTTAAATATCAATTAAAAGAGAGCTGTAGAAATAACTGGACCAGAGTTCAAATTCCAGAGTCTACAGTGCAAGTATTGTAATCCCAGAGCTCTCATGGGAAGACAGGAAGACACCCAGAAGCTCATAGGACACCTAACCTGATGTGCACAATGCAATTATGACATCCTGCCCCAAACAAGGTAGGGGGCCAGAGCCTGTCCTCTAACCTAACTCCTTACAGAGTCCAAGACAGAAGCACACCCATACTCACACAAATAAAGATACAAGTATATGGACACACATCACACAGAAAAATACTGTTCTTAAATAATATAAAGTTCTAGAAGAAAATGAAATGGATAAATTCATTTCACAACAGGTAATACTTTATCTGTAGAGAAGCTCTGGAATAAACCAGAAATTAAAAGAGCAGTGCTGCCAGGCATAGCAGTGCCTTTAAATTTTTTTAACCAACATTCAGGGAGGCAGAGACAGGTGGATCCCTCTGACAGTTTGTTCCAGGACAGTCTGATCAACATAGTGAGTTCCTAGACAGCCAGGGCTGCACAGTGAGACCATTACGTAAATTAAACAAATAAATAAAGAACATTTCACTAATAGGAATGAAAATCCTCAAGACACAAAACCAAAAGCAAACTGAAAGGTTGAAAAAAATAGACTACAGAAAAACAGCAACACTAAGTTGCTATAGCTGACAAGCAGAAAGGAACGTTAACATCCATGAACACAAATATCCATAATACAAACACATGCCTGAAAATAGTTCATTTCACAGAAAAAAAAAAAAATCAACTTCACTACTTAAAGTTAGTGAATACCACCCTATTTTCAACCCATCTGGTTGGTGGCAGTATAAGAAATCTTTGGGGGGGATTAAAAAAAAATAAACAAAAATCCTACACTGATCTATTTTTTAAATTATTGTACTATTAAAGCCCTTAAAAACACCAATTTTTGTTTTGTTTTCGAGACCAGGTTTCTCTGCATATCCCTGGCTATCCTGGAACTCACTCTGTAGCCCAGGCTGGCCTCAACTCAGAGATCGCTTACCTAGGCCTGCCAGGTAGTACTAGGAACAAAGAAAGGCATGCACCACCACTGCCCAGTCTAGAAACACCACTTTCAAATTTAGATTATGGCTTGTGTTGAATGTCACCATAACACAATTTCTAATAGAAAAATAAGCAACAAGCTAACCTGACTACCACTACCAGAAACCATCACTTGGGGAACTCCCTCAGCCAGGAGCATCTCAGGTCCTAGGCCAGCCTGAGCTACCTCTGAGAAGCTGAGGGCAGGAGGGAAGAACAAATGGCTCAGGTTTCTAAAGGGGAGGGGCTTGGAAAGTGACAGTGCACGCCTTAAATACAAATGATCTTCTCCCGTTTAGAAACATATTTGAGCCAGGCACAGTAAAGAGCACTTTTAATCCCAGCAGAACCAGGTCAGGCACATCTGTGATCTAGAGGCCAGCCTATTATACATAGCAAGTTCTAGTCTGGCCTGGGCTATATAAGGAGACTTTCTCTCAATAAAAGAATACGTAAATTAATTAATTAATAAAATAATAAATTTGAACATGTCCGATAAGAGAGTTTCATAATACAGTTTTTGCAATTATTTAAAAATAAATTTTAGGATATTAAAATGGAAGGTATTCATAATACAATACTATGTTAAAAGCAGGAAATGGCGCTGGCAGGTGTAGCTGAGTATTATTATAGTGGCTGAGGTCCTGGGTTTGATCCACATTACCAAAGAGGAGAAAAAAGCAGTTCAGTTAAAAATTAAATTATAAGTATTTATTGACTGATAAGCCAGGGCAAAAGTGAAGTCACCAAAAAACAAAAAAAACAAAAAAACAAAAAAACAAAAAAAACAAAAAATCCAAAACAGTTAAGTCCTTCTTCCTACCAATTAACTGAACACTTTCTAAATCTTCTATAATATGTAAGTTTAAAATATTTAAATATTCAGCACAAATTGAAATAATTAAAATTTTAATTTTATAACTTAATCATTCCAGTCTGTTTTTTCTAAACTATATACTTAAAATTTACAAAACGACAATAATTTTTAAATTATTTCAGTAACCGTTCATACCAAGTAGCCTAGTTCCTATATTAGATATACATGTCAAAGCTCTGTTCCATCATCAGTCAAAGAAAATTTCACACTTTACCTGTTTAGACAAAACAGCAAAGAATAAACCATTGGCATTCAGATACTCCGTTAACTTCAGTAAATTTAAAGTCATATGTACCTTCTAAGAAATAGGAAGGTAAAACTGGCCCTCAATATTGACATTTTTTACATTACATCCTATCAGCACCTCTTATGGTCTTCAATGTTAACCCAAGACACAATCATCTGTGTATTCAAACAAAAGTATAAATTTAAATATATGAACCAAAATAACGGAGGATAAATACTGGGTGAGGGGGGCACCACAGAAGCATGAAAGTCTCAAGAATGCAAAACTGCCTTCATTCTGTGTACAAGACAACAGAGGGTCATGATCAATCACATCAGATCAAATTTAGATGGAGGGGGTGTCACTCTTCACTATCCCTCTATTCAATGCCATAATGTCACAGCATTTCAAAGAACAAAAAACCAAAATAAAAACAAAAACCAGTCAACCAAAAGTGCTCCATTACATCTTACTGTTTCTAAGCGTATGCGTCAGGTAATAAAGATATCCCCCAAACAGCCATTATATGCAATTGCACTTCTCTGTTTGACAACAGACTGACTCAGGCTTGAGTTACATAATCAACCAAGAAAGCAACCGTATACATGAAGGACACATGAAGTTCATGAAACCACCTACAAATTTTTAGACCAGTAAGAAACAAGTGGCAGAATACGAAAATCATATCGTATGTATCCTTGACCCATTTGTCATATAAAATTTAAATATAGTGGCATTACTATTTGAAAGAAAACAGTAGCTCTCCATCGTTATTTCAAGAAACTAAAACCAGAACACAAACAGCTAAAAAAAGACAAAAGAAAAAAAAATGTTTTAAACAAGTGTACGTCATATACATACCAGTGCAAATATTTCTTTTAAAAACTCAAAAATTTTTGATTGACTCAACTCATAAAGTCCTCAATGTAATTTCAAATATGTTGAAGAATTATTACGTTTAATAACTTATGCGTCATCATAAAATGATGAGGAAACGAGTTCACTGATTATTTTTAGCCATTATACAACTTAAGAAATAACAGAATTAAAAACACGCAAGACTGAAGTGCTTTGGCAAAACTGTTCAAGAAGAGTGAAACTTTTGATCTGGATAAAATATTTCTTAGGAAAAAAAAAAGCTGAAGAAATTGAGATTCCAACTTGACCAGCTTGAAAATTCTTTTCTTGTCCTTCTCCCAAGCTAACATTTCAAAAAATAAAATCGCCCCCAATTTGTAAACGTTGCACGTCCAAAAGCGAACTGGCAAAAAGAGGGTTAAAAACTATTTACAAAAGTGCAGCTGAAGTAAATGCACTTCCCCCGGGGACGCCACTAGGTGCCGGTCTGATCTGCCGAAGCAGCACGCGATTCCAGAAACACCCAAGGAAAAGCGATCTGACACTCGAGAACCACAGGAGGCGATGCGTACACTAAAGGGGGTCTGCAGCCTGGACGAGTCACAGGGTTTAACGGATTTCAAGGTCGGCCCACGTCGTAAGACGCGAGAGGAACGTTCTCCCCGGGAAGCGTGAGGCGAGGAGGACGGCGGGATGAAACCTCCTCGAGAGTGAGAAAAATTAAGTCTAGAACCCAAATGGCGTCCATCGAGAACATTCCATCTCGAAAATGAATATTGCGCTTGCGCAGCCACCGCCCCGGCCAGCTGCTCAGCTGCAGCTAGAGCCCGACCCCACCCCCCCCGACGGTCACGTGCTCCCATGCAGCGCCCGCCCGCAGCTCCGCAAGCGCGCAGGCGCGAACTCAACTCCCGCAGCCGCCATAATGCGGTCTTGACTCCTCGGAAATACAATAGTGCTGTCGCCGGCGGTGGCTGCCGCAGCCCCCTGGCACACGCGTATACCTTCGGGGGCGGGGGTTGACGGGCAGGGACCCACCCGAGTTCCTTCCTACACAGCCGTCCCGCGCAGCCGTCCCGGACGCGGCCGCCTCAGCCGTGCGCTCCACTCCGCCGCCTCCGCAGATTCAAAAACAAACCCGCTTCTCCCCTGCACGCGCCGGGGCCGTTATGCAAATAGGCTGGGGGCGGAGCTCCGCGAGCGCACCCGGTACCCCGCCCACTGTGCCGCCGGCCAATGAGCGCGCGCGGTGCCTGTTCGCCATGCAAATCTGCCGGTTTTTTATTTGAATGAGGGACTTTGGCCACGCCTCCCGCCTCGAAAATGAGAAGCGAGCGTGCGGTGGTGGCGCTGCTGTCTTCTCGATCGCAACCCGAGGTAATTTTTCCCCCACCCCCGCCCCCGGTTGGCTCTTCCTCCCCCACCCACCCACGCTACCTCCGAGGTGTTTTTTTGAGTGGAGATTCCTCAGTGAACACCCTCCACGAAACTTGAGAAAGGAAGTAGGTGAGTGTTTTGAATAAAACAGCGGAAAGATTTTCCACAAAGTCTGGAATCCTAGAGTAGAATTCGTTCAACATTTATTTTTCATTTCGATTTTCACCTTATTTTGTTTTGTGGAGACAGATTCATACAGTGTATCACAGTCTAGACTTGCGTGTAGCTATGTAGCCCACACTGGTCTGGAATTCGAACTCATTCTGCCAGAACCTCTCGGGTGTTGGTTACAGGTCGTTTATCTTTTTTTAAGTTCAAATGAATTGTGTTAATTATCAGGATATGGAGGGAAAACTCCCCTTTTTAGGAAATATATAGCAGAGCAAGCACTACCAATCATACCTTCACACTTCATACCATAAATTCACTTGTCTCTGAAATAGTAATGATAACTGCTCAACCAAATTGAGAGAACTGGAATGTAGGAAAGAATCTAAATGTGTGTTTTACAAACCAGTAAGAGCCAGCGAAATATTAGGCGAAAAGTTTACTCACTTAACATGTAATTTCTCCAAGTGTTTGTATAATAGTAACTTAAGCAATCACTGTGTTCCAAAACTATGTTGTGACACTGAGGAAAGCTACACTCTCATAGCCAGCTGTAATAGCTTCTGGGTGGAGTTCCAGTGGCACTCAGGGAGGGTGAAGCAGCACCTTCAGTAGGACAACCTGTGACCACATGTTTCCACATCATCCTGGGCTTGAGACTGTCTCCAGGAAAGCTCACAGCTTTCAATGTTGTCCTGTACTTAATTAACAGTTCAACTTGGATGTTAGGCAAGCAAACTAGAGAGATATTAAATTCAAGAAACAACTCCTGAGGACAAAAATATGTGCTACAATATCCAGACCAACCATGTTCTAGGCCACTATTTTACTACTAAGTGATGGCAGCAACCCAAAACGGCCAGAACCATGGCTTGAGCTAGGTTTAGTCCTTTTGGCTTGAATGAGGGTGGAATTAGTGATCTCTTTTTGAGTATATCAAAAGTAAAAGGGCAGGGCAGTGGTGGCCCACGACATTAATCCCAGCAATGGAGACAACAAGCAGGCCGATCTTTAACTAGGAGGACAGCCTGGTTTACAAGAGAATTCCAGGAAGGGTTACACTTTCCTATTGGGGGGGGGAGTTTGGGGATATTTTTTCTAGATTAAAATTAAGATCCTAAATTGATTTTGAGTTGAGAGACAGGTTATCTTGAGTAACCTGACTTAACCTAGTAAAAATCTAGAAGGAAGTCGTGGTGCTTGTCATTAATCTCCGCTCTCCAAAGATAGAAACAGGCAGGGTGTCTGAGTTCCAGGCCAGCTTGATCTACAGAGTGAGTTCCAGGACTACACAGAGTAACCTTGTCTCCAAGAAACCAAAAAGGACAGAAAGAGAGAAACCTTGAAAGGATAAGACCCAGCTGGGTGTGGTGGCACATCCCTTTATTCTCAATATTTGGGAGGCAAAGGCAGGTCAGTCTCTGAGTTCAAGTCCAGCCTGATCTACAGAGTGAGTTCCAGGACAGCCAGGGCTACACGGAGAACCTTGTCTCAAAAAACAAAAAAGGAGAAAAAAGGAGGAAAGAAAATGTGAGCTCCCATCTTCCTACTCCAGCATCCAACATCAGAGGAGCAGGGAGGTTTTTATTGCTGTGATGGTTCTGAACATGTTTGGGGGAGGATTGTGGAACAATTGGATTAAAGTCGTCATTGAGTGTTGAAAGTTCAATGAGCTTGGAAGATAAGAATGTTAAGAGCAGTACAAACTGGAGCAGTACAAATGGAAACCTGGCTTGTGACATTTCAGAAGGAAGCAAAGACTACTGGGCAGTTTTGTGAAGAATCTGTGGTGATTAACAAGAGAGCAGGACCACTAAAGTAAAATCTTTGTTTTGCTGGGACAATGGATGCTGGTCAACTGAGGCCAAAGAGTCAACTGTGATTAATAAGAGACCATCCAACTGGAGCAGAGGTGGCTCATGCCTTTAATTCCAGCACTCTAGAGTCAGAGGCAGGAGAATCTCAAATTTTGAGGCCAGCCTGGCCTACAAAGCAAGTTCCAGGACAGCCAGAGCTGCTCACAAAGAAACCATGTCTTCAAAAACAAACAAAGAAGAAAAGAAAAAGGAGGAGGAAACCAGCATCATTGAAGTGAAATCTTCTGGAAGTGTTTCCTGAGAGTCAGCACACAAGAGCTGTGTTCTGAGGTGGCCAACCAAGGTTGTGCCATATGCTGAACTTGAAAGTGTAAGAGTTGCCCATCTGGTGATGGCTTTGAAGTGGTAATGGAGTTATGGAGAGTTGCTGAGAAAGGAAGGAAAGAAACGACACAGTTCTTTATCAATGAAGTTTCTAAACCTTTCCTAAGAGATGTTTTTTAAATGTGTCTGTGCACAGTGGGTATGAAGTATAGGTAGAGACTGGGAGTATTGATTGTCTAGAACAGAAGTTACAGACATCCATGAGCCTTTTCTCCATGTGCGTGTGGGCAACAAAACCTAGGTTCTCTGGAAGAAAACCCGTGCTCTTAACTACTGAACCATCTTGAGTCTGTTGTGGAAAATTATTTTAAGGTGTGTTACATTTGTTTATGCTGTAGAGCACTTACGATGCAAAGATGTGTTGCATTTTTTCATTGTATTTGTTTAATTCTGTGAAGCTTCATTACTTTGCCTGCCTTAAAAATACCTGATTGGTCTAATAAAGAACTGAACAGCCAATATCAAGGCTGGAGAAAGAATAGGCTGAGCTGGCAGGCAGAGAGAATAAATGGAAGGAGAAATCTAAGAAAAGAAAGAGCAAGATAGAAGAAAAAGAGGAAGGCATCAAGGGGGCAGCCACCCATCTACACAAGACATAGATTAGGAAGTAAAGAAAAGGTATACAGAAATAGAAAAAGATAAAAGCCCAGAGGCAAAGATAGATGGGATAATTTGAGTTAAGAAAAGCTGGCAAGAAACAAGCCAAGATAAGGCTAGGTGTTCTTAAGAGTAAGACTGCGTGCGTGCAGTGCAGTGCAGTGTGTGCAGTGTGTGTGTGATTTACTTGGGAGCTGGGTGGCAGGCTCCCAAGACCAAAGAACAAAAGAATAAAAAACCAACAACAGGAGTCCAAACTTTTAAGAAGTATGTTGCCTACTTTACTTATGCATAGTAATAGATCTTCTGAGACCAAATAGTGCACACTGTCCCTTTATAAAAGCAAAACCCATGGTGTCTACAGGATTTCATTCATGGACCCTAAGCAGCACCAGTCGGTCCCTGGCTCTGTAGACCCAGGGCAGCCTCAGGGCAGGAGATTGCTGTAAGGCTGACTTCTGCAGGCCACAGCTTCTGACGGGAGGGCAGCCAGCCCTGATCCCAGTGAGTGCCGAGAGACAAAAGCGGCCTTATGGAAAACTCAACAGCCTCAGCACCTTGAACTGCTTGCATCCGGAACATTTCTGGGCATGAGCGGAAGTTGTAGAAGTTGCATGTTCTGATATCGACTTCTGCTCTGCAGGAAGCAGGGGGAAGGGGGTGGGAGTGGGGGGAGGAGCTCTCTTCCACCTCTGGGCTTCTGCAGGACTATAGGCTACAGAGCCAGTCTTGGCTGTTTCACTGGGCGATTGTACAAAAAGAGGAAGTGAACAAAAAAAGCCTCCTGAAGGGGATTTGTAAATTTATGTGGGTTTGCTAGGGGAGAGGGTTCAATTTTAAATATTAAATGTATGTTTTGAGCCTGGAGCATGCACTCAGCACTTGTGACAGAGTAGAAGAGGCTTAGTTTTTAGTTTTTAAATTTTCTTGTTATGACCAATTTTGTAAAGGAAACCCTATGTTACTTCTTTGTTGTTTTAGTTTCAACTCTAGTGTTTATGTCCTTAATCCCTTTGTGCTACTTTGTTTTGTATCTTTAAGGCATGTGCCCAACTTTCTTTTTTTGTTATTTTTGTTTGTTTGATCTTTATTTTTTCTCCTAAGTTTTGCAACAAGTCCTACCCAGTTATCTGAGCTGGCTTGAACTCAGTAAGGCCCAGATAAGCCTTGAACTTGAAATCCTCGTGTCTCAGACTCCCAGGTATCTAGGATTACAAGCACATGCCACCAGTCCTGGTGAGTGGAATTTTTTGTATAGTGTCAGGAGTCTTAATTTTTTAGTTTGCCTGTAGGTCATAGTTTTCTATAGGTTAAAGTAGAACTATCTGGCTACTTTATTCGATGAACAGCCATTTTATTCCTGATAGATAACAGTATCACTATTCATTTATAGGTTTAGGCAAATGAGGGAACCAAATTGAAAGTTTTGTCACCATTCTTCATTTTCCCTGGACCCACTTCCTGTACCAATAATGTATCACCAGGGGTTTGATAAAACAATTTGATAGCCTCATGGGTTCTGGGGTTAAGACATTTACTTAAGCCCATATACCTGCAGTTAGAACTGATGATAATAGCAATCCATGAGGGTTTGCTGGAACAAAAGGGAAGAAGTCACCAGCTAATTAATAAGAAATATCAAGTACATTCGTTGCTTAAGTGGGATGTCAAAGGAGCAATCTGTTCAGTATTGCCTCTGTTCAGCAATCCCCACCCCTTGTGTCATTATTGGTCAAACAGATTTGGCAGCTAAGAACGCTAAAGGTGAAATGAAGGCCAGAGCATGGCCCAGAAAGTGCTAACCTCTCTGTTACTACATCTGAGCAGA